TTTTTTTTTTTTTTTTTTTTGGGTTGCATGCCGCAGATGCTTTATGCTTCTTTTGATCTGAATTTATGTTTCCCCTCCTCTTTTTCTATTGACAAAAGCCCTAGGAGATGGCTGATCTTTATCCAACCAACAGGGTGCAGCCGTACAATGACCTGTGGTACACTTTCCAAGATGGTTTCCTAGAATTTAACGCTTGGTTTGTGAGATGGGTGTCTGAGAAACAAAAAGATTTAGTTTTGCTTGAGGCTTTCAGAGGGGGTGACATTAGTGCCACATGGTTTCCTTTGCCGCGCAAGTTATGCGAGCGAGACTTGAAAGGCAAGACTTGCTGCCGGTGCTAATTCACTTTGCCTTCCCATCGAGCAAGATGGAAGATTGGTCGGGCTGGGCTAAGGAGATGCTCACTGATAATGGTTTTTTGGAGATATTGCGCGCCATCGAGGTCCTTAAGTTGGTTGCTCTGAGTTAGACCTTACGTCAATGTGGAATGCCTCCATCACTTGGTACAGAGATGGTGCACGAGCACTCATACCTTCGTCCTTGCTTTTGGAGAAGTCATTGTGACTTTAGAGGACATAGCAAACCTGATTTTATTGCCTATTGTTGGGGAGGAGGATTCACGACATATAGCATTAACACCAAAAAAGCATGTTACATTGATAGCTTTGAAGAAGGTGATGAGGACAACCACCAATACTTCTTCTCGTTCATGGAGAGGGAAGTACAACATTGATTTTCCAACTTGGATGCGGTATTTTCGGACTGGTGAAGGCAAGGATACTCTATATTGATTTCCTTATAACCTGGTTGAGCAAGTTTGTTTTTGGGGGTTTCCCAAATCATGAGATTATGGCTGAATGTATTCCTCTGGCCATGCAGTTGGCTGAAGGCGTGAGGCTTCCTTTGGCTCCACTGATGTTAGGTACACTCTATCACATGCTTGATTTGCTGCATTTTGATGAGATTCTTGGTGTTGGCTACTACATCATTGAATCGCATATATGTCTGTCTTTATTGCAAATGTTGCATGGGAAAGATTTCACCAATATCACTTTGGTCGTGTCACCAATGGGAAAGCACTGAAGGAATATCCCATGGCGAAGTGTGGTTACACTAGTGGAACAGCTTCGCTAGCTTGTTCTTGGATAGGAAAGAGAAAAATAAAGGGCTATATTACTTCGGAGGTTGATGGTTTTCTTGATGACTATGATAGCTTTAATTTCCATGCATACAAGTGACGTGTAGTTCCTATTTTCTACTAATTGTTGCAATGGAGTCGACATCGCTAGAAGCAACACTCAACATTTTTCTCTTATATATCGTCAGGAGTGGCATTTACCCACTTCATTGGGAATGATACAAACATGTTCTACTTCAGCAACATTCCTTTACACATGGCCAAACACGGTCACATTATCTACGCAACATGGCTGGGCATTTTTGATGGTCATGTCCTTTGTAACGATGTTTACTGCTACATATTTTGGCTCCCAGTAATGGATAAAGAGCTTATTTTGCTGCATGGCTCCCATCAATGGACAACGGGCTGATCTTATTATATCTACACAGCTCCCAACAATGGACAAAAGGTCAGATTTACTATCTCATTTAGCCTCCAACAATGGACAAAAGGCTACACATTTTTACATATCTTCATTTCACTAGCTCCCAACAATGGACAAAGGGTTAGATTTCTACATATTCTATCTCATTGGTTCCCGAAAACAAACAAAGAGTCAATGCAACTCGGTACTATTAGCGTGAGGCTGATAACAGTTACAACCCTGCGATTGGATGGGATAGTCATCTTCCAGCGATAAAAATCCATCAAGTAGTGGCCGACGGTCCCTTGGTGGTCACCCATGCATGGTGGTGTGCTGCCCAGCGAGCAACAACAACCATGACCACCCTCTGACGGTGCGGGTATGGCAAGAAGAGTCAACGTTTGTTAGTGGTATCACACCTTGTCATATCGGAGGCCATGGATGCGGTTGGCGTCCCCCTTCCATGGAGACAACTCCACCTTTCTCTATATATATTCATTGCTATGGTGGAGTCTAGTCTAATGAGATTTACCCCTTCACAACTTGGTGGATTAGTGGAAATGCTCTTCCAATTTCACATAGTTCACGCTCCAGCCATGGGCAAAACTAGCCACTGTTGCCTCTTTAGCTATGGGGAAGCTATGCATGACTGACCCGGTAATACATACATAACATGGCCAGAGGTCATGCACATAGGCACTCTTCTACACAAAGGGACAAAATTACCGATTGCCAGTAATCCCGACTCATAACACATATTTTCTATATCTTATGTGTCAATAGGTATTGTCGACCAGCGAAACTTGGCTCGGGACAACGATATCATAATACACACCTATACCACTTGTTCCTTATTCTAGTGCAATGCCAGCCATGTACAACAGCAATATATTGATGCCAACCAGGGCTAGTAGGCAAATGAGAGCAGCGAATATTCATTCACATAGTCTCCTTCAACACATGAGGGAGTTTCCTTCTTTGCTGCATATGCCTATATATTTCTTATTCTTAAATATTTGAATATATATTCACATATGCCTTATTGTTACTGTAGATAAACACAAGCCCATGAATCCAAGCTCATGGGAATTATTTAGGATAAATTATGGGAGTAGTGGCTTGGTAGGCATGGATGGATGAACGCTGCTCGTCTGGCGAAGCAAGGCATCCGCACCAACAAAACTTGGCGTTGGCAATGCTGCCCCACTTCGCTAGAAAGAGGCAGGGTGGCAAAGACATGGAAATGAGCTTGATTTTCGAAACAGTGCTGTTTGATGTTAACTGAAGACCGAAAATCCCGCCAGAAACTAACCAGAGGTGTTGTCTTGGTCGCCATCAGCCACTTATAGCCATATTTAATGCAAGGGTGGCTACATAAGTTCCATGGTCTTGGAAGCTGTTGTAAAAGATTGTTATCTGTTGGTAGAATCTTCCAAAATCTAGCATAGAGCCTAGGGAACTTTCCAAATCCTGTGCAGATGTTGTTTTTGTCGACTAAACTCAAGCACCTCCCTAAAGATGGAATTTCGTATGGCTAGGGACCTTGCCAAATGTATACAATTTCTAGTTTCTTCGCCAAAACTAGCAAAACTTTGTTGGGACCATTGGGCAATTCATGATGCTATTGTCGTAGAGATTCCAACAATGCTTGGAACCACCAAAAATTCGACAGCTCACCCTAACCTTCCTGCACACACCTAAGCCACCAACTAGAAATTACAACAATACCACTACATATATATGAATATCGGCCCTTCATTTTTTTTTAAGAAGAACAAAGAGAAAAGAGAAACGTATGCAGCATAACAATATACTTATACACCAAAACTCTCATTTTCTCCTCCAAAAAAAATAGATCTCATCTTCAACCCATTGCTCTGCATGCAGGAATCACCCATAAACCACCATTTTTCTTAGGTTTTCAGTGTCTCCGATTCTACAGAGTATTTTCCAGCTTTGTAGAATATTTCCTAGCTCTAGAAAGAATTTTCCAGCACCATAAAACATTCTCCAGCAATATAGAACACTTTCCTGCACTGCAGAATATTTTCCAGCATTGTAAAATATCACCTAGCACTGTAAAATATTTCTAGATTTGCAAGATATTATGGCCGAGGAACAACATGCTATAGTTTCAGCTTTTGGATAGTTCTTCCTGAGCATCAGGTTAGCATCAAAACGGGATCAAGTGTTCCATTTGTAAGCTCCCAAGCAGTCACCTTTCCTTCTCCCATCACCATTCTCAAGTTTATCCCTTTTGTCTTTGGAAGAACCTCAAGATTGGAGTTGTTGTACTCTTCATTTTCAATATGAGGATTGTTTGTTATAGAGTAAAAATGTACACTAGGGATGAAAGAGGTCACATTTATTGTCATTATTATTATGTTACAATGATTTATGTATGAATGTAATTCTCAAGTAATAATCTTTGAACCATATGTATTTCACATTTCTGTTGCCCTTCCTTAACAATGCACAACTTCTCTCCAGCATGTTTTTGGTAGTTGTGTGATCACCTTAAACCCCTGGAATCCCACCATTGTTGCCCAGCTCTACTGGCTTGGCTGAAAAGTTCATTTTTTGAAAGCTTTTGTTGGAAAGAGCACTATGAGATATCATCACCCAACGAACGGGATGGCTCGTAACATGTAGCCTTCTACACAAGAGACGGGTGCTGCTGAAAGAACCCCCCTCATTTTCTTGGGTGTCATCCTAGTCAGCTTCCAGGTTACTATCATTGCCGACTCATCCACCTATGTCACCAACACCTCCAAATACCATCTCACCGTTGATGTTGGAGTTTTGGGGTACACCACTGAAGAGGTTTAAAGCTTTTATGTAGTTGCTACCGGAAGTGGTAGAGTACAATCCTGCTTCCTTAGACTGTGATTGTCTTTTCACCCACAATAACTCTTTCTTGAGTTATTGGCACAAGCATTCTTGGGGGTTCTTGACGAAGGAAGATAACGGACAGTGGGCACCCATTGTCCTCTTGTTCCTGGCTTGATGGAAAAGGAGTATGGCCAAGTTAGTGTTGCTGAAGGAGAACTTGGGCAGGAAGCAACTGGCGATGCTGGAATTGGAGGTAAATATATTCTTTTATCTCTTCTCCTTCTTCTACCTTAAGCTTTAGTTCTTCTTCTGTCTAGGAGCTTGGCTAGATCAAGTTAGTGTTGAGGAATGTTCTACATTTTTTTTGTATTGTTCTCATGGCAATTGTAGAGGAAGCTAATGAAGTTATTCCCCTAAGAAAGTCAGTGTTGGGCAAAAGGAAAAGCGTGGCTCAGCCACCCAAAAGTAGAGCGCGTAGAGTTTTTGTTTCACCAACTAACAAGCAAAGCAAGGCCAAACCACCCATGCCTTCCAAGACAAGAACTACCAAGGGCAAGGAGGTGGGTGACGACTGTGACAGTGATGAGAGTTCATGGGGTGACCCAGATCCCGAGGTGATTGAGCGGATCAAGATATTGCGACCCATTCGTGGTGGTAAGCGCATAGGCAAGAAGTACTATGATTCAAGCACTTCATTCTAGGCAAGTGCACTTCCAAGTCTTTCCTTTGTGGATCCTTTGATCGTTGTTGACCTCACTAAGGATCCTTAGATATGTGGCTTAATGACTATATGGGCAGTCAGCAGCTTCTAGTGAAGGCTTTGGTCCTATTCCCATCCCTGGCAATGACAAAGTTCCATCAAAGTCTAAAGAGGCCAAAAAGGTAGAAGCTTTGACACTGAACATGAAGGAGGCTTTGGCGAATCCTGATGTTCGCTGGAAAATATTGGCTAGAGAAATAGGTGAGCCTCCACTTCCTGATGACATACTTAGTTTTGTCGACTCTATCATTGATTGGAGTGATCTTACTTCCTTCATAGCCAAGTTGGTGATGAAGGCCAAAGCTAGCGAAGTTTCACTGCAGAAGCCTTTTATTGTAAGTCATATGCAGGCTCGTTCCTTATTTTTTGAAATCAAGATTCTTTCTTTTAGAAAAATTGTTGAAGCATGCTTGTGCATTCTCCGTTACTTCGTTGCAGACCAAGGGAGGTGTGAGGGTGTCATATGGCATCTCAAGCATGGAAAAAAAGCCTGGAGCAGCAAAGACTCAACCTGAAACATCAATACCAAAGGTAAGCATTTCTACACCTTCATGCCAGCTAAGGAAAATGCTCAACAATTGTTGAATTTAGACCATTAACTTAGCTGATTTCTCTTCCAGCCGCGTCCCATCAATGAGTTGCCTCCTTTCTACGCTAGCGATTTTGAGCTAGTCCTCGGGGGATTTATACCGAATAGGAGAACTGATGCTATCACTGATGAGAAAGGTACTTGAAATCGTTTAGTAAAGTAGTTTGGATTTAAATACCCTACTTGGTTAAAAGCGATATTTCTCCACTAATCAATTATGCCCATATTTGTTTTGCTAGGTGTTGAGAAAGGGAAGGTCATCGAGGTGATCAACTCTAACTCCAACGAAGAAAGCAACAAAAGTCAAGTGTTGGTGATGCCTCACCTAAAAGTGGGGATGGTTCCAAACAGAAGGGCAAAGATATAAGCTTTCAAGGTAGCATTGACATGAACAAGCCTACCCTCGAAGAATTTGAATTGGATGTAGGCAACACTACAAAAAAGCCCGTTCCTGATAAAGGTAAGGTGGTTGCTGACAAACCATCCAAGAGCTCAGAGAAGAGAATTGTTGATACAACCGAGGTGGAGCACAATGACTAGCCATCTCCAACTCTTGTCAAGTCAAGTGAGGTCAGTGATCGACCACCTCCAGCTCTCGTCAAGTCAAGTGAGGCTGGTGATTGATCGCCTACAACTCCCGTCAAGTCGAGTGAGGTTGGTAACTTTGCCGTGAGGCTGCTCAAGAATCTAAAGATATGAATGAGGATAGAGATGTGTCAATGGCTCGATTCGACTTGGCACCAATGGGTGGTTCACGAGTAATGGGTAGGTTCGTAGTGCCTGCGATGTTGGAAGCATGGGCACGCCATTTGCTAGACATCTTTCCAAACTTGATGACGCATAGCAAAGCCAAGAAAATGGTGGTTGAAGACACTTTCTCGATTCTTTGTGCAGCCATGTGACATATGGAGGTAACCCTTTTTTCTGAAATGAATGAAGACTTCTTCTATTTGTGTAGAGATGCCATTGATGATGTCGAGAGCATAAACTTTGAAGTTGGTGCAATTCGTACACACTTGTCAAATTTGGCGAAGGCTTACCTCGGAAAGACTAAGTTTGGCATGACTAGGAATGACATAGTTGAGAGTTTGGATGAACAGATTGAGAAACAAGTGAAGCATATCAAGGAGATGGAGAAATCTCTGGATGAGATGAAAGAGCTCGTTGCCAAGCTGGAAGAAGGCCTGGTGTCAGCCAAGGCATACCTGGGATCACTCAACCAAGACAAAGAACGTCTGAATGCCAGTGGTATAGCCGAGCTTCGCAAGCCTTGTATTGAGGTTGTTAAGACCTTCGGAGATGAGCCTAGCCATTTTCTTCCATGACGGGCTGTGTTTGTCCCCACTTATTCTTTATTCTTTTTCCTTTACATTGTGTTGACTATTGGCGGTGTCGCCACGATGTAACCCTTTAGCTGTATTTGCTCTAGGTTGAACATCTTTGCTTCCAGCGAAGTTTGAACCTTGCTTGTTTGTTTATTTTCTTGCTTGTATCTTTCCATTGTTTTGTATCTGAACAAATAAGTTTGCATCATAGAAATGGGTCAGGGAGGTTATTCCATATGCATCATCTTCCTTCTCTTTTCTTCTTCTTCTTCTTTTAAAAAAAAAACATTCCCTATCCTTTTACAACGATAGAGCAGAATACGAGCAAACTAATTCGCAAAGTGCCGAATATAATAAGAAAATGTTATTTTCACCTCACATCTGATTGATATAACGTAGGTGAAATTAACTCTCTTGGCTGGAATGAGTGACAACCCTAGAGGCAAAATTATAAAATGGATGAGGTGAACGAAGCTTAACAGTAGTATGGTTGAGCCACTTAGCATTCACGAGATCTAATAGCAATTCTCCTTCATGGGTTTTGAGGCGATAATATCCACTATAATGTGCCTCTGTGACAATAGCGACCATTCCAATTAGCAACAAACTTGGATGGCCTAGTGATGTTCTTCCTTACATGGTTAGAAGCCTTAAGGACCATTTGTCCAACTGTGAAAACTCTGCCTCTAATTGCGCAGTTATAGGCTTCCATCATCTTGGCTCAATATTTCTGAGTCTTTTCTTGTGCCATTTGCCGAAATACCTCGATAGATTCCAAGTCTTTAATTCGCCTTTGGCCACAAATGTTAGCATTACTATTCAGCTCAATCGCAACCAAGATGTGTGTGGTTGGTACCAGGACTTTGTTAGGGAGGACTACATCACAGCCATATACTAGAAAATAAGGTGAAAAACCTATAGCGGTCTTGGATGACATTCGGTGAGCCCAAAGAGTGTCTTGCAGATGAACGCTCCATCCTCCTTCGTACTCATCGACCATCTTGCTCAAAATTCTTAACAAGCTTTTATTAGTTGCCTCTGCTTGGCCATTGCCTTGGGGATAGTACGGAGTGGATTTTCGGTGCTTGATTTTATACGTATCTAGTAATCTTCGCACGTGTTGATTAACAAAAAGAGTTCTATTATCACTTACAATTTTGTATAGGATGCTAAAGTGGTAGATTATGTACTCTTTGATAAAGTTCGACATCGTTGGACCTGTAGCCTTGCGAGGAGGGACAACCTTCACCCATTTGGTGAAATACTTGGTGGCCACCAATATCCAAATGTAACCCTCGGACGAAGGGTGAATAAGACCAATGAGATCCTAGCCCCAAGTGTGGAAAGGCCAAGGGGTTTTAATGTCTTGTAACAAATTAGGATGGGAATGGATAAGACCAGCATGAACCTGGCAGGTGTGACATTGTCGAACAAAATTCCCGACATCTTGCTTCATGGTTGGCTAATAATAACCATGGGTCAAAAGTTGCTAATATAGCTTTCTTTGTCCTTGATGCTCGTCGCATTCCCCTGCATGTATCTCAACCATGACCTTCTAAGATTTTCTTAATGATAAGCAACAAAGTAGTTCGCCAGCGATGCTAGCACGAAATAAAACTCTCTCATCCATGAAAAATTTCGGCAAGGATCTCTTTAGATTGTATGCATTTTTTAAGGATTCTTTGTTTTGATTATAAACCTGTTGACGAGATACACATTGCTGTTGGAACTCAATGGATTGTTGAGCCATGTTTGGCCAATAGTACCCTGCTCATTGGATACAGCAATAGAGGCTTATACGACTATCATGGCCACATGTGCGATCGTGAATTTCCCTAAGTCTTTGATAAGCTTCCTTATCGCTGATGCACCTAGCCAAGATTCCACTAGGGAGGCGATAGTATAGCTTATGAGAAATAGTAACATAGCTGGATAGGTTCTTCAAAGACACATCGGATTTTTGTTGCAGCATGGCGTTGTAAATTGCTTACCGCTAGTTAGCACGATCAAGTAACTCAAGCAAAACAGACTTGCAGCCACGATAGATGGGTTGCTCTTTTTGAACAATCTGGACGCTGAAGGGATTCTCAGCCATGGGCACCCTTGAAGCGATTGTGGCTAAGGCATCAACTAATCGATTCTCCATTCATGGTACCTGTTCATATCTTATGCTGGCGAAGGACTGCTCCAGATGTTGGCTAAAAAAACGATATGGTGCAAGATGTTTTTCTCGAACAACGAAGGTACCTTGAACTTGGCAAAGGATCAGACCTAAATCGCCAATGATTTTCAAATGCTACACATCAGCCTCTTTAGTCATAGCAAGGCCGATAAGATAAGCTTCATACTTTGCGATGTTGTTTGTGCACTGGAAATCAAGCTTGAATGAAAACACCATGTCATGGCCTTTGTCATCCCTGAGAACAACGCCAGCCTCAGCCCCTTCAGCCACGGAAGAACCATCAAAATACAATGTCCATTCTTCCTTGATTTCCTATGTAGTAGCAACTTCACCACCTGGGACTTTATCGAAGATAGGATACTGGACTCCGTTAGAAAATTCAAACAACAAATCTGCGACAGCTTGCCCCTTTATGGCGGTGGGATTAACACATGCAATAACATATTAGGATAATTGAAGAAGACAATTAGCGAGACGGCCAGTGAGCATGGGCTGTGTTAGAAGGTACCGGATAGGCTTGACTCTGCGCCTTTGAGGTTTCGATTGACATAGTAGACTGGTTGCTCTTCGCCTACTCTTTGCCTTCTTAGTCCTCCTGGGTAACCAGTGCACTCATAGCTTTGTCAGAGGTAGACAAGTAGACTTTAAGTGACCTACCTCGAACAGGGATAGATATGGTTGGTAGCTTGAGTATGAGATCCTGCAGATGTGAGAAAGCACGTTGCTGCTCTTCTTTCTATGTGAAAGTAGCTTGTTTCTTCAATAAAAGGCTAAATGCAGACAGAATTTCTGCCAATGAAGGAATAAATCTACGGATATATGAGACCTCACCAATGAAGCTTCGTAGCTGTTTGAGTTTCTTAAGCGGTAGCATAGCTCGGATCGCCTCAGACTTGGCTGGATCCACACTAATACCGTGTTTGCTCACAAGGAAGCCCAAAATTTTCTTACGGAGACATCAAAATGCACACTTCGCTGGGTTCATTTTTAGCTTGTACAAGCGGCATTTGTTGAAGACTTTTCTTAGCATATCGAAGTGGCTTAATCTTGTTTTAGATTTCACCACAATATCATCAATGTGGATTTCAATATACAAGTGGATGAAATCATGAAAAGTTGCCACCATGACTCTTTGATAAGTAGCCCTAGTATTTTTGAGCCCGAAGGGCATAATGACATAGTAAAAATTGCCAATAAGAGTGCGAAAAGCGGTCGTCTCTGCATTGCTAGGGCACATGCTGACTTGGTTGTATCCGCTGCTACCATCCATAGGAGAGTAAATTTCGCAACCAGCAATATTATGCATCAGCACATCAATATTTGGTACAGAGAATTTGTCCTTGGGGTAGGCCTTATTAAGGTTATGAAAGTCAACGCAGCACTTGATCTATCCATTCTTCTTTCGAACTGGTACAATATTGGCCAGCCAAGTAGGCTTCTTTGTTGGCTTGATAAATCTTGCAGCCAAAAGTTTCTCAACTTCTTCTTTAATTTTTAGAGTAACTTCTGGATGGAAGGCACGATTTGGCTACACAACTGGCTTCATATTAGGATCAACATTTAAAGAATGCGCCACCAAAACTAGATCAAACCCTAGCATTTCATCATAATTCTAGGCAAAAACATCCTTATATTCCCGTAACAAGTCAATCATCTTGACTCTTTCATCAATAGAAAGAGTGGTACAAATATGCACGTGCTTGGGAGTTGTTGGGTCATCTTCAAGATCGATAGCTTCGTAGGACTCTAGAGAAGTGAGCGCTAGTTGAGCCTCATGGAGGGTTGGCAACTCGTCTGGCAGTATCAAATGATCAGCTTCGCTAGAAGAATCTAAGCGCTTGGCAAGTATTTCATTTCCAGCTTCAAGGGTGGGGCATTTTGCTCTGCTGTAAAGTTCTCGTTCATCAATCAAGGTGTTTCTCCTTGCGGTGAGGAAAGAACTATCCGAGGGCATGGTTGCACTACTAGCTATGTGGCCACCCTGCATACGATTGAGAAGCCCCTCGTGGTGAGGAAAAACAGTCTGTGGTCACATGGTGGACAAAGCGATGGTAGCGATAGTATTTAAGGTTGCATTTGTCATCATTGCTGGGCTCGCGATGCAATTGAGGTTGTGTGATGGCACTATCAACAATCCATTGATTTAAGAGCATATCAAGTTCTTCGATAGTTAGAGGAATAGGTGGTGGCCATGCTGCATCACGATCTCTCTTTTTCTGACCTTGTCCTTGGCCACAAACAAAGACAGCTAAGGTATGAGCAGTGGTTTTCTTTTCTATTGACTTCGTTGCAGACTTCCCAATAGAGATGGCTTTAACAAAGATGGCTGTTCTTCTGGCGACGTCAAGCAACCTTGCGAACTAACTGATCCCAATGTTTTCAAGCACAACACGATACTCCGAGAACATATTGTTGATGCAAATCTCCACCAAGAAGGACTCAGCGTGGCCACCGTAACAATAAAGTGCCAAATCCCTAAACCTTTTCACATAAGCCATCAAATCCTCACTGATATCCTGGAGAGTCTTGTGGAGATCAAGGATAGTGATACGCTCTTCGCTTTGGAAATATTTCTAGCAAAATTGTTCCACCATCTCAACCCAAGAGTGGATAGAACCAAGAAGCAAAGTGGTATACCACGTATAAGCTTTATCGGAGAAAGACTTTGAGAACTTGCATAGGCACAAATCTCTATCCCTGGCGTGAGCCCCCATGGCGTCAAGGAACTTGCTAACGTGCTCCACAGCACTGCCTTTCCTCCTATCACATTGCAAGAATGCAGGACTCTCATATTTCTTCGAGTATGGCTTGGATAGAATCTCTTTTGGATATGGTGGGTCACAGACAAACTAGAAAGGAGTTGTCCCATGTTTGGAACATTCCCTATCCAGAAGAGTAGTAAGGTCTGTCATAATGACGAAACCTTGGGCAAAATCGGCTACATTGGGTGGGGCCTTATCAGTGCTGGCGGCTACAACTGCTGGTGGTGTTGAGTTATCTATCAGTGCAACAGAACCTCCATTTTTATCAGTAGCCCCAGTGTGGACTTCCTATGGCTGAGATGTTCTAGCCACATTGACTGGTTGGGCTAAATCTTGTACAGCATGTTGCGTCTAAATGTTGGTGAGGAGCTGGGTAGTTTTTTGCTAGTCTTAATGCAGGACCCGGATGACTTAGACTAGGGATGCAAAGGTAGGATCGGTGATACCTTGCAAGAGGTCATTGAAAACATCTATCGATAGGCGTGGCTGCTAAACCTCCCGTCCATCGTCCTGACCCTACTCTTGATTCCCATCAGCAATGCCATGGTCGAAAAAGCTTGGTTGAAGGTGAATAAATATCATAGAAGAAGAATGCGGGAAATACTATATCGCTGAAGGAGAGTAGAACAAGATGAAGCTCTAAGATGACCTCCCTAGTGGAGTCACCATTTTTTGTTGGGGTGTGCTGATGATGTAACTTGATGAGTCAGCAACAATGATGACTTGGAGGCTGACTAGGATGACACCCATGAAGATGAGGAGGGGTTCATTCGGTGGCACACGTCTCACGTGCGTAAGCTACATGCTACGGGCCATCTCGTTCTACCCAATGGTGATGTCCTACAACAAGTTTTCCAACGAAGTTGAAGAATGTTCCAATTTCACAGCCAAGCTGATAACGTTGGTAAGCAATGGTGAGGACCCAAAGATTCAGAATGATTATACAACTATCAAAATCAACAACAAGAATATGTGTATGTTGTTGGAAGGGTGATGGAGATGGTAAATATATGGGGTTCAAGGTTACAACTTAGGGATAGTCTTCATATATAAAACACTATAACATAGTAGTAATGACACCAAATGCGACCTCTATCATCTCTAGTGAACATTTTTACCTTATAACGGACAACTCTCATGTTGGGCATGAAGAATATAATAATTCTCCTTTCAAAATTCCTTCAAAAACAAAGAAAGGGACAAACTTAAGAGTAATGGTGGGAGAAGCAAGGATGTCCACTTGGGGATGATTATAGGTGGAACACTTAATCCTGTTCTTTGATGCTAACCATGCAGCTTGATCTTCCAAAGCTCAAGAAGGACTACCCAGAAGCCAAAACTGTAGTGTGCTTTTTCCCAGCCATGTTGTTTTGCAAGCATGGAAATATTCTACGATGTTAGGAATATAGGAAATCGAGAAAAAATGGTGATTTCCGAATGGGTTTTCACTGTGTAGGATGGTAGGATGGTTGATTAAAGATGAAGGGATTTTAAGACGAAAATGGAGGTTTGATGCGTGTGCTAGCAGGTTGGAAAAAGCTCGTCTATTCTTTGTACCTCCTCTTTTTTTTTTTTTGAAGAATAAAAGAAAGGTGATATATATGTGGCTAGTGGCATTTTTGTAATTTCACTTAATGGGTCAAAGATGTGCAGATGGGACCAGGCGAATTGTTAAGCTTTGAATGGTTTTGGGCACTATTGATGGCTTCTTTAGCAATAGCATCATGAGTTGCTTATCGGTTCCATCAAAGCTTCGTTGGTTCCAACAATGGACTGGAAACTGTCTATTCTTGGAAATTCTCCCAACTATACGAAACTCCATTTTTGGAGAGGTGCTTGAGTGCAACTAGCAACAACAGCACCTGCATCGTGATTTGGTAAGTTCCCCAAGCTTTGTGTGGGATTTTGGGAGATTTTGCAAACAAACAATGATTTTTGTAATAGTTTCCAAGGCCATGAAACTTGTGCAACCACCCTTGCATTAAATATGGCTGCAAGTTGTTGGTGCTGATGCAAATGGCATCTTCGATTAGTCTTCAATGGGATTTCCAACCTCTAGTTAGCATCAAAGGCTATTGTTTCGAGAATTAAGTTTGCTTCCACGCCTTCACTACCTAGCCCTTTCTGGCAAAGTTGGGCAACATCGCCAACGCCAAGCTTTGCTGGCACGAATGCTTTGCTTCGCCAGATGGGCAACGTTCATCCATCCATGTCTGCCAAGCCACTACTCCCATAATTTATCTCGAATAATTCCCATGAGTTTGGGTTCATGGGCTTGCGTTTACCTGTGATAATAATAAAGCACATATGAGTACATGTTTGAGTATCTTGAATATAAGGAACATGTGAATATATGCAACGAAGAAGGAAATTCCCTTGTGTGTTGAAGGAGGCTATGTGGACAGATGTTTGTTGTTCCCATTCATTTGCTAGCCATGGCAAGCACCAATATGTTGTCGTTGTGTATGACTGGCATTGTGCCAAAACAAAGAATAGATGATATAGATACGTGCACCAAGATATCAATGTCCCCAGCCAAGCTTTGCTGGTTGGCGATACCTGCTAACACATAAAATATAAAAGAGATATGTTATAGATTGGGATTACCGTCAACTGGTAACTTTGTCCCTTTTGTATAGGAGAATGATAATTTTGCATGACTGTTGGTCATGTTGTATAAGTATTGTAGGGTCAGCCATGAATGGTCTTCCCATAGCCAGAGGGACAACAGTGGCTAGGTTTGTCCATTGCTAGAGCATGAACTATGTGGAATCGGAAGAACACTTCCACTAGTTCGCCAAGTCGCAAAGGGGTAAATCTCATTAAACCAGACTCCGCCATAGTGAGGAATATGTGATAAAGAGAGGTGGAGTTATCTCTATGGAAGGGGAACGTCAACCGCATCCATGGCCTCCGATACAATAAAGGGTGATACCACTAACAAACGTTGGCCTTTCTTGCCGTACCCACACCATCAGAGGGTGGTCCTAGTTGTTATTACCCATTGGGCACCGCACCACCATGCATGGGTGACCACCAAGGGATTGTCGGCCCCTACTTGATGAATTTTTATCATTGGAGGGTAGCCATCCTATCTGATCATAGGGTTGCAACTATTACTGGCCTCACGCTAATTGTACCAAGTTGCGCTAACTCCTTGTCCATTTTCGAGAGCTAGTGAGATAAATATGTAATAAATCTGGCCCTTTGTCCATCGTTGGGAGCCGTTTAGATGTAATAGGATCAACCTGTTGTCCAATGATGGGAACCAATGATAAAGATATGTAGAAATAGACGCTTGGCCGGTTGTCCATCACTAAAAGCTATACAAATCAGCTCGTTATCATTTGATGGGAACCATGTAGCAAAACAAGCTCTTTATCCATTGTTGGGAGCCAAAGAGATGTAATAATAATCATGACCGTAAAAAACGCCCAACCATGTCATAGAGATCAATGCAGCCAAGAGATGTAGCAGTAAATATTGCTGTAGAGACATGATCGTCAAAAACGCCCAACCATGTTAGGTAGATAATGTAGCCATGTCTGGCCATGTGTGTAGGGATAGATGCTGGAGTGAGTTACATTTTGTGATGTTTCCGACGAAGTGAATAAGTGTCATTTCTGGTGATGTTGATTCCACAACAGCAATCAGTAGAAAATTGGAGTCACACATCGAATGTAAAAAAAGAATAAGTGTTGTGGGCCTTTGCTAATGCGGACCCGCACACGTCATTAGTTATGTATTCATGCAAATTCATCCCTCAACAGATGGTATATCTTGCTATTTGGAAAACAACTTCAAATTTTATTCTCACCAACATCTAAGAGATTCTAAGGTAGTGGCCACTACATTTAGATGATGAAGACCCCTACTTGTTTTCCAAGTTGTTTATAGCTTTTGTCTTCCAATTGGTCAAATGATAATGCTTGTGGAATTAGCTTTGTACTAAATGCTCTTCCAAAGTTGTAGATATCTGTAATTATAAATTTAGTTGAGATCCAACCATCACCTTAGCCAAATTCCCCTTAAACTTGCTTCTCCTTCCTTATTGAAGATGGATAACTTTAGTCTAAACACCAAGGTTAGTCAAACAATTGTTACACTTAGTTGGGTTAGCAACTTTTGTTTCTTCAAGCCTACCAAATCATAACTCCCATGATCTTATTCCTAGGAACATTATAGGCTTTGTTCAATAAAGTGATTTGCTAGCTCTTGGTAAGAAGATATGGTTAGAAGATATCCAAGATATAGATACCTTTTATGACAAAGGAGATAAAGGAAGAGACTTCATTGGGTTTTTAGTGAAAAGTATAGTGCAATACTTTGTTAGTAATAACATAAGGACTATTCAATCCATACTATCAATATTTTCACTGAACATATTCATCTATGATGTTTAAGATATCTTTAGTGAATGTGGATTTATCAAATAGACATAGTTTGTCATCCTTAGAGCTATCTGCTTTGTTAAGTGAGCAATGATCTTGCTTGACAAGGCTTTATCAGAGAATATACTTTATATAACATTAGACTCCTCCTGCCTAGAGGTGTTGTAGGAGATGTTGGGCCATATTCAAACAAAGTTAAGTTTTGATGATGTGGAAACTATTAAGATCCATTATTGAGTTGTTGTGAATTTGACCCTCAACAATAACATGGTTAGAGTTACTTGTCCCATTTAATCGGAGACAACAAGTAGTTATTCCAATCTAGAAATTTTGTACATTCATAAGAATGCTTTGATAGTGTTGATACATTGATAGTTTGTGAGAGATTATGGGTCCAAAGTTATGATTAGGCATGAGGAAAGTTATACACGCACCTCACAACCTCCGGGAAGCACTTGGTTTTATACTTCAAATTTGGGCAATACACAGAATCCATTAGATAAACTTATTTAATCCAAGCCTTGTATTCAACATGTTCAACCTTAAACTTTGTACAAAAAATTTGGAAATATTTTATGCAAAATACTCAAATCAACCCACAAAAAGAAATCTAAAATTTGTATGAACAAATAAAAGAACAAACTAAACTAGAATCACTAACAAAATATATGTGAATCACTAACTGACCAAACGAATAAAAAAAGGTTTATAGTCTAGATAAAAGTTTGATGTTTGAGAATGCATGATATGTGCGAAACTAAAACAAATGGTAAGACATAATCTACCAAGTGATAAAGGATGCATTATTAGTATGCAAGGATGAAATCTTGTCAATATCTTGTTTAATCAAGGATTGTAGTCAATATCAATCTTATGTATTTAACTTATAAAATTTTCTATTATAAGAAGTTACCTTGTACTTATATGGCACTACTTGTTTATATATTTGTTAATACAATAATAATGCATCGCAATATTTCCCAAAGGAAAATGATGGGTGCACACCCAGATCCCACACCCGAGTGTGCACCTCCCATATAAACAAAAAAAAAATGCCCATCACTCGGTCCAACTTTTTTTTTTATGTGGGGGGTGCACACCTGGGTGTAGGATCCGAGTGTGCACCAATCATGGTCCTTTCCCAAAACCCCTGATATTGTAATAATGGTATCAAAACATTCTTCTCTACCGAGCCTTGTCAATTGTTTTTC